GGTCTGTCAGTTTTTTCGGTTGGGTGCGAAGCGTCACTACGTTGCCGGTTCGACGTCTTTCAGAGGTCCCACGAATTAGGAGACCGGGTAGGTACCAGCAGCCGTCATCTCGTGTTCTTAATTTTCGATCTTGTTGCAGCTAATATGACGGAAGAAAATGTTAAATTATTCCAATGCATAACCGTCGAAATGCTTGTCAAAAAGAAGCGAAATCTTTCGATACAGAAGCATAACTCCTTGTTCGTAAAAGTAATGGCAAGCATTTTGTTATTACGTGCATTTTTAAATCAAAGTTTTCTCTTAGATTTGTTTTAATATGTTTTAAGTATAAGAGTAAGTTAAGAAGTAATGATGTTGCAGAGTTTCTCCTTTCGCCAAGAATCTTAATAATTTTTACTCCTCAAATACACTATTACATAGAATACTATGCATAATCTGAGGCAACAAAGACTTGTAATTTTCATCTCCAGTAGTCCAGTAAGGTCAGTAGTGCTATAGCATTTAGGGGTATGTTACGCTAAACCGTCAAATTTGCATGCATTAAATTCATCATTGTGGTGATTTAAAAATCAGTCGATTGGTGTAAAGTTATTGTTCCTAGACATGGCGACAGCTAAAACGAGCGATCACGCTGTTGCGTAGTGCATTTCTGACTCGTTGAAGCGTGACGATGCGTTTGGTTCAAATAGCATATTAGCAAATATCTTAATCCTCTCTCAGAAGGAACTTCGTGGTTTCTTTTGCAGCGTTTTCGATGATTGTGTGTGTTGCAGAGTAATCACCGATTCGTGATCAGCATTATTTACGTCCCAAAGAAAGGTCACAGGCGTTTCTTTCAATAGAAGGTAAATTATCCCATTGCGTTTACCTCTGTCTTACTCAAGGGTATCGAATCTTCATTCCGCTCAACGACTGAGACAGCAATGAAGAAAATCCGCGGTTTTTATCAATCCAATCTGTGCCTTTTATACCAAAATACTCTAATCATCCTCACAGTAAAACAGCAGTTAGGGCTTTATTATGGACCTCACATTGGCGTTTAATTGTTGTGTGACCACGTCTTCCTCATTTTAATTTGCATGATACCCGGTTGAATCTGTGATTACTGTTAATGGTTTAGTGCGATGGACAGAAACCATCTGGTTTCGTACTCCAGCAAATTATCTGGTTTTAATGATTTGGCCTTATCCCCTCTATTCTTCGGTCTTTATATCGGCAACCTGAAAACAATAGAGCATATAAAGTGCATCAAGAATGTTGAGGACTTGATGATATCTGAGCTGACTGAAAGGAAGAATGAAGCTGTTGTTGCAATGTACACTATGCGAGTTTGTGACTCTAACGGTCATTATCGTAGGTGTTCGGAACTGTGCTGTTAGTATTAGATAGCGATGTCACACCAACAGCAGTGGCTGATTAAGAATGGCGAGATGAGAGATCACAACAGATATGTCGAAGGGCTAACCATGATGTGCCTAGAAACTGAAAACTCGCTTTCTTTTGTGAAACAGCTCTCTTGGTTAATTACTGACTTATTCAGCAAGTCCATCAAGCTGAGTTTAATGGAACATCCAGATATCTTCACAGGAGTATGTTACAGACAGATGACCAACCGTTATGATCAAGCATACTGATGTTTGTGTCGAAAATAATCATATCACTTTGGCATTGGTGATGCAGCTGTCTTTCTCTGGTCTCTGATAGCAGGTTTTATGTGTAACTTCCAATTTCGATTATTTCCCTTTTCCTGGTCATATCAACAGCTATCTTTTGGAGTGATGCGCTAGAATTTAGCATTTTTTTGCTCTGCATATTTGTATTCATATACACAAGTTACAGAAGATCATGTAAATTTGTTTTTAGCACTGTTGCAATATCGCCAACATTAAGCATTGCATGAAAACGTTGGGAGATTTCCCGTCATTCCCGCTAGCAGACGCCATCATTCGACCGACCTTGAATGTACTGACCAACCAGGATATGACTACTGATTGTCCTCTTCTGGTAAGTTAACGGTTAATATCATCCTTACTAAACAGCTGCTGTGATTAACATGTGAATGACACAGTGAGTTTAAACTCGTAGTAGAATACTCTTGTGCGAGCTGTGGTTGAGGAAATTCATTTTGAAGATGATCATCATTTCTGGTTCTATGGTTAATGACACGAAGAAATAAGTATATTGTTTGCTTAGCAAATGAACTTTCTATCAACCGTGCACCAGTCGTCGTCAGGTGCAATTTTTGGGTTTAACTGCTTCTGTGTTATTGCAGAATTGCTATTTTACCCGGCTTACGATCGATGGTCGATCTAAAGGTTTATTAAAAGTATGGCTGCTTTTTCATGTCGATAGCCATAAATTCAGACAGGATGGCAATTTTAATCGTCCATTTCCTGACATCAGTAAATGGTTTGTTTTTGCACTGCGATATTTTCGAAGGCTCAGGTATTATCAAACAGGGAAAAGATCAAATAATGGATAAATGCGTTTACCTGGGCCAAAAGATCAACATGTAGGATGATCAAGTTGGAGTGATTCAACTAAGAAATGGGACCGGTTTGCGCGCGTTGAATTCCATCAAGGACGTCCAATTCAGAAGCATCAAGAAAGAAACCCTCACCCGCCCCTTTTCAACTTTACCGTACTACTGGCGATGTTGTATTTCTGTGAGACGTGGTTACTCACAAAAACCAACGAGCGTCGGCTATCTATCACTGAGAGAACTATGGTAATAAGAATGTTGTGAATATCACTTCGTGAGCACATCCGCAGACGATCATCACACAGCGGACGGGAGTGATGGACATCGAAATAAGAAAAGAAAAGTCTCAGTGGTCCAGGCACTCCGTTCATCAACTGGGATGATCGTCGACTGATGTCCTCGCGAGTGGACTTCGTTCTTCGTCGCTCACCACGGCGGTGGAATTATTATATCAGGATGCTGGACGGTCGCGCTTGGAAGAAGAAGGCTCGAAACCGCAAGGCATTCCTGATCTCTTGCGCTCGCGCGACCTGTAGCCGATTATCAGTCGGTCCAGGTGGTCCAAGTAATTTGCAACGCGTTGCTATTTCCAATTCAATTGTTTTAGGGCGCAGTGATGAGGTCACGAAGTTAAAACAAAATGTGTATTCCAAGGTCGTGAGGTGGCAGTTTTTTTTAGATTCAGTAAAATCTTCCGTGTTCACATTTATCAGCGAGTGCCATAAACGTTTGCTGGCCAAAGCACCTTCATGCACCTTTCAGCAGAGTTTTGACATAGACTATCAATTTACGTGTGTAGCATTAGTTTACTTTAGCAAACTTTCATATGCAGTCAGGATAATTTTTTAAAAATGGTTCTCGGATCAGCAGTCATTTTCAGTAATATTCCAACGCTTAGCTACCAAATACGTTCCTAATTGCAATAATGTTCGTTGATGACGATTGCAAGATGTGTCAGATTGATTAATGGAACCGTTTTTAAGGCTTCGTTGAACAAGCTTCCAGAACTTTATCAGGCAGGTACCTTAAACCTCCTTTACTCGCAAACCTGATGGAATCAGTTGCTATTTTCAGCAGCAAATATGGAAGACGACAGAATTCTCATGCAGGCCAATGATAGACTTTAGGATAGACTTTAGTGCTTTGTCCTCTGAATTTGAAGCCTGTTTTGCGTTGCCACGGCATTGATGATATCGCAACGCATAACTCCTTGAAGATAAGACTTTACGGCTTGTGTTACACTGTCTCCTTAGTTTCCTTAGTCGCCATGCTATTTGAGCACTTGCAATGTCAGTGCATCTCGCATCATATTTTTCTCCGGAGCCACCTCATGCTCGTCACAAACGATGTTTCAATAACCGATATTCCATATTTCCTACCGTGTAGACATCAAAGTATGCTCTTACGCCGGAGTATGCTAGATAACGCATATCTTTTAAAAGACCAGATTTTACATCATATTACACTGCCACCTTGCTCCTAGTT